CGCACCCCGTCCTGACCTTTTTGTGCTTGTCTTCTTTCGTGCGCGCAACCGTCCTTTAGACAAACAGGCAGCAATTAGCCCAACAAGTTTTATTGGACAGTTTGTATCTCGTGTTTATTTATGAAGCCCTTGATATCATTTTTTGCAGAGAAACGTAAGTTGTGCTGCACCAAATTTCTTGGCGTTCCTGGAGTCGCTAAAAAAGGAGCAAGCTATGCCGGAGCTGAAGCTCAGCCAAGCTGCACGCGGGGTCGTTTCCACAAGGCTGTCGCGGAAGCGGGCCGGACACGGCAGGCGACTTCGGGCCATCCTTCATCGCTATGACGGAATCAATAACTTGGATGTCGTCGAAGCATGTGCCAGAAGTATCTCTTTGTGAACACTGGTAAAGTGCTATCATTAAAAGAAACACTTGTATTTACGCACCTAAATGAGTACCGCCTTCTTATTAGTCACTAGGAGTGGTGCCAAGGTTGTGGTGGTCAAGACATTGTTACGCAGTGCCTATAAAAATTAGCACAAACTAATTTCATAGGTGCGGGAAAAAATAAGTAAATAAAGGAAAAGGGTCCCTAGTAATTGCTCTAACTTAAAAAACTATGCTCAATAAGCAACAAAACCCTTAAAAAATTATCAAAAAGAAATGTTCTACGATTTGTCATAGTGACGAACCGCCCTATGACAAATGACCCTATGTGAGGAATAGCCCTGCTACCAGCTGTCGTGCGACGAATTGTCATTCGACGAACGGTCCTACACCCCAACACGAAGTTGTGAATACACGCATGCGCGCCGACACAAAGCTCATCCAGGTCGAAACGGGCGGGGGCGGTGGGGATCGAACTATGGAGGTTCCCAGCGCAAGCTTTCGCTACCGCCACGCGGAGCACCTTTTGTACCCGCGTGGGTTTCTGAAACATTCGGCATAAAACGTTCCGCGTGTAGTACATTCGTAACTCGATGAGACGACAAGGTTCTCAAACTTACGAGAATGTCAAGTTGAAAGAATAAATAAAAGAGGAGTCCGCTCCCTGGAATCGAACCCGGAGGCTCCGCGCGAGAGCCAAGTGCGGTAACCCATCGACCTCGCACTCGCGCGGCGACGCGCGTGGAAATATCACTGACACATGTTACAAAACATTTTTGGGACAGAAATAAAGAGGTCGATTTAGCTATAGTGACATCGCTGAATATCAGGTCCTTCGGCGCACCTTAGACGCATCGTTTAACTACACTCTATATTCCCTATATATGGGGAGTTCACTATAAAAATTAACGAACTCGGGATACGGATATGAATAAATGGATAACAAGGAGAGCCCACATAATAGCCACGGCAGTGGTCTCACCTTCTGCAAGTAAGTCGCGTTCAGAAATGCACTCAGCGTTGGGGGGCGCTTTGTTGGGATTTTGAGAGGTCATCCAGCTTTTAGTTTGTTTAATATCCTGTTCTCCGCTTATCAATGTTCGCTTACATACAGTGGTCGCGAGAGCAATAAGTGATGGACTGAAGACAAAAAGAAAATAAACAAAAGAAAGCCTAGACATTCCGCCATAGGAGGGTCAAATATAAAACAAGCAAAACAAGTTTTTTGTTTTTCTGTCAACTTTTTTTTTTTGCGCTCAATTTTGCACTGTTGTTTTCCGGTCTGCGTTGCGCCTCAGTGTGGCAATCCTAACTTCCATAAAACCACCCCTTTTGTTTGAGCATTTTTAGGGGAAAACTCAAGGAAACAAAAGGCGCATTTGGGAACGCGAGGGGAAAACCTTCATTGTACGAATTCGGTTACTCGAAAGAATGTTCACGTTTGCTCGTGCCACGCCCACGCCACTTCACACCGAAAAACGCGGAAAATGGCGGAATGTCCAAAATGTACTTCAGATAATGAGTACAAGATACTCAGAAATATAATTAAGATAGAGTATCAAATACTCTCGATCAAAAGTATTTGAAAGATTCCAAGTTACTTCAAGAAGTATTTAAAATACGGTATTTTGAGTAGAGTATTTGAGATAGGCACAAGTCTGGCGTGACGACATTGATCGGCGGAACCAGCGGGACTCCCACCCCGACTGAAGCATTCTCACGAACAACGGGGAGCTGGGAGGGATGCCAGTGTTATCAGACGCATTTAGCAGTCGCAGTTTTGACAGTAAGTCTCAACGAGCACTGACGAGTGTAGAAAAATAGATGCGTACATGAAACGGCGACCCGCGATTACTGTGGGTAGAAGAGGATGTGTCAGAATCGGCGAGCGAGAGAAGCAGCAGACGGTCAGGATGCTGCGGTGGCACTGCTGTTGGCACTGAGATGCGTCGTCCGCTAGCGTCCGCTGCGATTCGGCTGGTTTCTTTCTCCACGAGGAAGTATCGCGTGCGATATACGAACTTTAAAGGGGTCATGAAATGATTTTCTTACTTCTTTCTCCTTAGCTTTAATCCTCAGCTCAAATGCGAATTGTGAAATCACATCGTCCCGGCATTCTTCGGCACCGGTCCGATGACTCCTAGCCTCCACCGTGCTTTCTATGCACACCATAGGGCTTGTCATTCCCCAGTGACGATAAGTTCCGTCAGGGCACTCATTGGCCACGAACGCGAATCCGAATAGTCGTCGACGGATTGATTGTTGACGAGCGCGTACGTCCGAGTGACGCAGTTTTCGTGTCCAATGCGTGAGCTGGGCTCGGCTGACGTCAGTTTGGCACTGCTGACGCGCTTTGGTAACCGCGGATGTATTATAGACCATTGCAAGCGTGGTGCCCTTTAAAGGTGTATCCACACGACGGACCAAATTGCTGTTTCGGTCCGCGGACCGCGCATCACGTGATCTTACGTCACCGGTTTTCGAGGTCCGCCGGCGGTCCGCGGCCCGCGCTTGTGGGAAATGCCAAGCGCTTTTCTCGCCCGGACCTTGGCGGCGGACCGTGGCATTTTTAGTATAATTGAAGCGCTAAGTCTGGCAACAAGCTGACTTTTGTTGTTTGAGTGGAATGAAAATCCAAAGTCGTTTTCTTTTGGCGCCAACTGTGGAAGACGAAAAAGACGAACGTTCTTTTGTTGTCCGACGATGGCGGCATGGTGCGATGACGCAACTTTTTACTTCATCGCGCTCGTAGAGCAATTCCCCGCTCTGTGGGACAGTAGTCGCGACGACTACTCAAATACTCATTTAAAGATGTCCCTGTGGCAGAACATCGCCCATGCGATGACCGAAGCTTGGCCCGCGTACGCTCCCTACAGCGTGGGTATGTATACACTACGTTCGAATTTTCTGCCCTACTGTTGAAGCGTTGATATACCTTCGAAATGCGCAACAGGAAAAGAAGTAAAACAAAGGTCTCACAGGTGCCGCAATAAGGCAGAATAACGGCAGTTTTCATCGTAAGCGGTTCTCCAAACATAATATTGCGAAGAGCATTGTACTACCCATTACCTTAAAAAGTAAAATAATATTATTCTTCATTTTACGTGCCCCAAACCAACCACAATCACTCTGGTGCACACAAGTAAATATAAACTAGAACACTACCAAGGTTCACGCTGTATCGAAAGGGGAGAATCCCACATGAACAAATGACGAAGAACCTTGACATGAACTGTAGTAGACAGTTATAAGTCCTAACTCCCTGCAGAAGACAGGAAGGTCACACGTTTATTCATTAATACAGACTTATTAAAGACGATATTTGGCAACAAACGGAGGACATATCGGAAGGAGAAGCAGAAGACGACAAAAACAAAAAGCGGCCAAGGATCGGAGGACAAGTACACGGGGAAGTGGCGCTTCTTCCGGGTTATGCGGTTCCTGGACGCTGTGCCGCAGCCTGCCCATCGCTCCTTCAGCGACGTGTTCGACGAACACACAGAAACTGTAATTACATTATCATATCAGCATGCTATCTAGTAAAAATATGTAGAAAACAGGGATAAAAATTAATGCACTTACTGCAGGGGTACAGCCGAGCTGGACAAAAACAAACAATAAATAATCCCCGGAGAAGGTATTATTTATCGTTTATTTGTTTTGCATGCTCTTCGTTCTCGTACACATGCAAACTTTGGCGTCAATAACTCTAGGCATTTACTCCCTTAAGAAGTAAAGAAATAATCATCCGAAAGGCAATATGACCGCTTTATTTGAATTAATTCGCTGAGGAATGCAGTTTGCCACAAACACAAAACAATATTAAAACACTTTTCTTCCTTCTGATCTTTCTTCTCTCCCTATCTTTTGAACTTTTTTCCCACGAAATAAAATCCTGCGTACGCCACTGCAACACACAATATCTCCAACACAGCTGTGCTTGAGAGCTTGCGTGTTGCAGCATCCTTCGTCGTTCCCCCAGTTTCGTTTTTTTTTTTTTTCTTCAAATATTATGTTTCGTTACTGCGAAAAGAGAAATAGAAAATGAGAGATTACTGAAACTTAAGTCACCGCTGCTTGATATCTAATGTTACTATTGTGCCGTCACATTACAGACTGAAAAATGCATTGAGCCGTCCACGCCGACCACAGTCGGAGACGAAAGCTCAGAGTACAATGAGCAAGACTCAACGACTAGCCAGCCGCCCTCTCCTGGGCCCAGCAGAGTTCAGCGGCAGGGCTCTAAGCGGTCAAGGCAGCCCCAATCCTCTGTGTCGTCAAATGACATATGGGCTCAGAGGCAAGCCGTTCTTGAAAAAATTGCATGTGCTGTTCAACTGCCGCCTGAAGCAAATGATGCCGCAGCACATTTTGCTAAGACTGTGGCAGCTCTCACTAGGTCATTGAGCAAAGAAAAGCTCATTATTTGCCAAAAAGAAATACTTGATGTGATCGCAAAATATATTTCGGAGTAAATAAAGAAAGATGTGTTCCGTGTGTTACTTAATTTACAGTTTGTGTTTATGTGGTGGTTCTTATCAATGTATACAGCCTCTTGCTGCCCCAGCACAGTACCTGTTCTCACGCACAGCAGCAACACACCCACTGAGACAGTCACGTGACACTCTGAAGCCTAATTAGGATGTCCTTTCCTTGACTTCTTTTGTTTGTCTCTGCCGATGTCCATGTCAACATAGGCCGCCTCTCGCTGCCATGGCACAGCACCTCTGCCATTGAAGTATGTGCACATTTGGTCACGCACAGCAGCACCGAACTGATTTGGGCGCCCACGTGGTGGAGGGAACCCAAAGAAGGTTCCAGTAGATTGTCCTCTTCCTTGACTGGTTGTTTCAGTAGTGGCTTCCGCATCGTTGCACAAGAAGTTATGCAGTAGACAAGTTGCCTTCACAATCGCAGCAGTTCTTTCAGGTGTGGCAGCGATAACAGTATGCAGGCAGCGGAAACGGTTAGCCATAATTCCGAAAGCGTTCTCAACCACGCGTCGGGCTCGGGACAACCTGCGAAAAAGCGAACATTTGGTGAGATTCCAGACGTTGATGAAATTGCTGGTAAGTGCTTTCGTACACCAAATATGTGGGCAACTGCATTGGTTAAAGAACGCCATGCATTCAATATTACGAACAGAAATTTACCTGTAATTGAATACCTTCTGGTCATCCGAGAGTGGGGTGCCTCCAAAGGGCTTCATTATGTTCTTGCCGATGGGGAATGCGTCGTCGGCTACAAAGACTGGCGGCAGGAGCAAGTCCGGAGCAGTAGCCACTTTCACCGCCTTTGGCAGATTTACTGTGTTGTTTGAAATGGCTCGTTGCAAAGGTGTTGTCTGCCAAACACCTGCATCTCCTTTGGAGCCTGGCGCACCGACATCAATGTATATGAATCTGTAACTTGCGTCGACGACAGCAAACAAAACGATGCTATAAGTTTTTAAATAGTTATAGTAAATAGAGCCCGATTTTGGGGGTTTTGTGATGCGCACGTGTTTGCCGTCCATAGCCCCGACACAATTTGGATATTGCCAATTTTCTCTGAATCCCTTTATGACAGCCTGCCAATCATCTTCAGTCTTCGGTGTTTGCAAACAGTCGCTTTTTAATTCTTCATAGAGAGCTGTGCATGTCTCTGCGATGAGGTCGTTCACGCTGGAGTGGCCCAGTCTGAACTGTCTGCTGAGGGAGTGGTGACTCTCTCCTGTAAAATGAAAGCGACAGGAACGACATGACACCGGGACGACCGTAACACATGATTGAATGACAAAGGTACTCGTTGCATTGTCTGTCACGCTCTGTAATGCGAACACAATTGTCCCGGTGTCATGTCGTTTTTTGTGGCTCGGAACAGAGATGTGTTTACCCGGACTTTACATTGACTTCATTCAGATTACTTACCGGTCGCAAGGTATCGAAGCGTGACTTGCAGCCATGTTTCAGGCGTAATGGCACGGCGCATCACTGTGTCTTGCCGCTCGATTCTTGGCCCAACGCACGCCAGGAGCTGTAGAAACTGCTCCTCGCTGACGCGTAAAAGCCGCCGGTACTCGTCGGGGTCCGAAACTAACAGCTCCGAAAAGAGTTGACTATTCAGACCAAGATCTTTCCTGCACATCCAGGGCTTCACCCAGCATGCCCTTTTCGGTTCAATGGGGTCCTCCTCGTCCTCAATAGTCAGCGCCAGGGCCACAGCGGCCAAACGTCTCTTTTGTTCAGCCTCCATATTGGCTCCTTACAAATAGCCTCAAAGCAGCTCGCTGCATGCATTTGGCGGAGCTGTGAGGTCGAGGATTAGACCGGCCCGTTCACACTGTCGTCTGCTCTATTGGTCCGCCGTGTGGATGCTCAATTCAGCCGGGCGGTCCGCGGGCCGTGCATCACGTGATCAATCGGTCCGCGGACCGGTCCGTCGTGTGGATACACCTTTAAAGGTGTATCCACACGACGGACCGGGCCGCGGACCGGTTCGCCACGCGTGCCAGCTCGTGCACCGAGTGCGTGAACACATAGCTTTGACAAGCTTCTAATTCCACGGGGTGTGCCGCAGGAGCCGAGACATGGCGGCGGCCAGTCGTCACACTTGCAATCGTCGATAGGAAGTATTCACTGGCGGCCATAGCTGAGTGCGCGACTGCTGAGCGCATGCTGATGGCGAGCTTCCACAGTTCTTTTGTAACGTGCATTCCGCATTCTCGAGATTGCCGGTCTTAGCAGCCTACTAATGTGCGCTCGTTCTGAGCCTGCGCTCTAAACAGCACCCACAAATATGGCGCCCAGTGAATACTCTTTATAGTAAAGAGGCGGAGAGCTTTGAAAGAAGGTACAAAATAGTCCGCTATATTTTCAAATGTTCGTACCGAAAAGCTGGCTTTTGACTTTCTATCCTCTCTCTTTTATCGCTGCAGAAAATTCGTTTCATGGCCCCTTTAAGGCCACGGTCCCACTGAATGCGGCAGTTTAGGTACTTTTTGGCAGGTCATTACTCATCTCCTTTTAAATACTGTTTTGTGGGATTGATGTCATTTGAAAGGCAATGCAATCCTCTTTCATTTGATATTATGTATGTGTTGTTTTATAGACGCTTTCAGCGCGCGCCAAATTGAGCCACCATAGCCGACCTTCTCTTGTCTTATCTAGGGTGCCTAGATGTCTGTCTGTCTCAGGGTGAAGACATCTATTGTTGCCCGGAATGTGCCAGCGCGTGACGCTCTCGCGCACTCGGTGCGTGACTTGGGCGGTAAGATGGCGTCTATGCATCAACCAAAGCTACGCGCTCGAGCTGAGTGACACCGGATTGCGCGCACTTCAAAATGCATAAAAAAACGATTGGGCGGAAAAATGGCTGAGATGTCACCACTCAAGCAAAAGCGCGCGTGTGTATGAAGGCACTCTAGTCTTATCGAGATGCCGAGCCACTGAAGCGGGCGTTGACGAGTCTCCACAAGGGCCTATGCTGGGGAGAAGGACACAGTAACACTTCACATGGCAATAACCTGTCCTGCTATGGTAATGATGAAGTGGAGCGAACGGAATAAGAGGGAAGAAAAACTGAAGGTCGGTTATGGCGGCGCCCATGCACAGCTGCCTGAAAGCATCTATACTGTTCATGCGCATTTGTAGCGTTGCGAATATGATGGCGCGGACCCTTACTTGCTTCGCTAGTTCACGTTTTATGAACGATCCATTAAAGATAGCACGGTTCCAATATAGCAGTTTTGTTAAGATGATGTCGGAGCAGAATGTAACGATACACTTTTTTGGTATTTGCCCTACTTTGTTTTCTTCATCCCTCCAAAGATTGCCCTAAAATTTACATTTTTCAGCACAAATATGTTTTTAATGACACGTGCTAGGGCAATGAAATTAGCAACAGATGTAGTGCTTATAATTGGTAATATGAAAAAAAAAAATGTAATGTTGTGTAAAGTTTTTTTGTTTAGATATTTTATATCAAACGTAGTACTTTTTTGTGCTTCGGGTCATGGTACTTCAAATGCCGCTGAGGAAATAACTAAACTATGACAAAATCTTTTATAACATTTAGAGCTACAATGGTTGCCCAAGAGGTGAACAATGGGTTTTTCTCATTTTCAATGTCATAACGCTCCACGAGCGTTTCAAACTTACCTGTTTTGACACATATCTTTTCTGGACATCAAACATATTTATTGGCATCTAATAATATTTATTGTTTGGAATAGATATACATTGCGATGTATTAACCTTTTACAATGATCTTGCTTTGGTTTCTTAATAGGTGTAGAGCTTAGCTAATTTTAAAAACAATTAAAAACTGTTTGGCTGTTTTGTTGCGCTACCTGGCGGATGGCAGACAAACTGCTGATTTCTAATGTTCAAAAAATTTCCGAGGGCGGCGTTGGTGTCTGTAACATCATCAATCTCCGTGTCTTTTTACCCCCACATTTAAAAAATATATTGGAAGATTTATTATCGATAACTGAATGGTTTAAGTACTGGATCAGGCTAATAAATCCAAGACAAATAATTACACAAGCGTAGCGTGACATAATGTGTTCATTATTCGATATGATTGAAATCAATAAACAATGAAGACGAAGAGGAAAAAGAATACACCCGAGTTCACTTTATGCCTAGAGTCACTAAATGAGCTTTAAAGTATCGGCACTCCGTTCCCCAAAATTGTTTTGGGCGCCACCATTTTGGGTCTAGCTCAGAGCAAACGAAAATGCCGATCTCATGATCCAAAAGTACGACTTCCTCAGCATTAGATGCGGTGCTAGGAAGCTGATGCAATATTGCAATGCTCTGTCGCGGGTTGTTTAAAGATTTGTGAGGGACGGAAAAGCTTTTCCTGTGATTTTAGATAAAGCTTCATATAACTGGCAACAATGATTTTAAGCCACAATATGGCCAAGTGTCGTTACTCTGAACCGCAGCTAATTTACTGGCACAAGCGGGAACAATGAAGAAGAGGCAAGTGTCAAGCCACTACGTTTCAAGCCACAAGCCACTACCTTTTAAGGTAGTGGCTTGTGGAATCCACGGGGCTTACGTCATGGCCCCTCCAGGTATTACAAGCCTCTTGAACAAGAGCATGAATAGTGTCATTAAATAAGCTACGCTTCAGAGTAGCGACACTTGGCCTTATTGTGGCTTAAAATCATGGTTGCCAGTTATTTAAAGCTTTATCTGAAATCACAAGAAACGCTTTTCCGTCCTCCACTTTAAACAGTTTGCGACAAAGCATAGCAACATTACATGAGCTTCCTTACACCGAATCTAATGCTGAGGATGTCGCACTTTTGAATCATGACGATCGGCAGTTGCGCCTGCTCTGCACAAGCACCAGAATGGCGGCGTTCACAACACTGTCGGGGAAGAGAGTGCCGATACTCTAAGCGCAGCTCATTTATCGGCTCTAGTTCCCGCGAAACTCCTTTTCCCTGACTGAAACTGAAAGTAAATATGAATAATACACCATTATTATAGCTTATGTAGTTATAGCCAAATACACATAATGAGAGGAGAAAGCGGGCGGGTAGGAGATACGCGGGTTTTATGTGCGACCGTTCTAACCGTCTCAAAAAAGATAACGCACGAGCTTGCGCTGGTTTAAAAAAAAAGGCATCCAACGAAAAGAGGCGGCACGCTGTGTTCTTTTTTATTATGCGTCTAATTGCAAATTGTTATGTGTATGTTTATACAGCCGGAAGTTAGTCTGTTTTAGTGGGCGTCTGGTGTCTCAGCTGTAGATGAGCAATTTAGCCAGTGCGGTACAACAAGCAAACCTGGGGTCTTTAACGTGCACCACGCAGTAGTGATACACGACAGCACGCCGGTACGATGCTCTTCCATATCAAAACGGGCAGGGACGGGGTGGGTTCTGCAGCGTGAGCTTTCGCTCCAAGTGCTCCGAGCTGGTGTGCGCTAGACCATGCACTCGGCCACGGACCCCCCCTTTGTGTGTCTAATTTATATACAGGTATAAGTATTTGAAGATCGACGATGGACGTCGATCGTCTCGAGGTAATGTAACGTAATAACATTATATAAATAATAAACTTGTTGAAAGACTGAACGACTTAATTTTTCAATTCTTGGATTGTAATATGGTGGTAGCCTATTGTACTTACTGTTGATGAAGAGCAATATGAGGTGACGAGGTAATGATTAAATGATGAGGTTCTATAAGGACGATGACATTAGTGGGTGTCGAACCACAACGTACAGTGCCAGACTTGTTTCAAGTATCGTGTACCCAGAGACTTTCTTCACCCGCAACAGTATATGGTAGAATCAATGAGAATGCTGCTGTACAACTCTACATGGAACAGGAAAACTGCACTGTGCAGAAGTGCGGCTTATTTGTTAATATGAGGGACGGATTTCTAGCAGCATTCCCTGATTGACTACTTGGAACAAATGGCCTCGTTGACGTAAAGTGCCCCTTTACAAAAGATTTTTGAAGCATACTTAAACCGCAAAGGAGTATGAGGCGAAAAATAAGAAAAAGGAGCCTGGTGTGAAAGGTCCAAATCACCACCATAGCTTCTACCATCAAATACAAGGGCAGTTACACAATACACAAAGAGATTTTTGTGATTTAGTTATATTTACACTTAAGGGCATTGATATCCAACGTATTCAGAGAGATGACACCTCCTGGTCAACCAACATAGAGCCTTTTCTTCTCAAGTTTTACACGGAAGGCCCGGCTCCCGCTGAAATTCCGCACGTAGACGAGTTGTCCGACCGAATAAACTGCCATTACTCCCGATCTGGGTATCTCTCGATCTTTGTTCGTAGGCCATAGTATCATGAGATCAAGGGAAGGTGGCTCTTCGTCCGCCGAATATTGCTTCTAAGGGTTTTTTTCGTGTAAGATGAGACCGTCGCGTGCTGCCGGAACAAGAACCTGGCGATTCTTCACTGAACTGCTTCTTCCGTAAGCTTCAAAAGGGCTTTTTTTCGATTCGCACACCATCTGTTCTGCTTGCCCGTTAGTTGCAGGATGATATGGTGCACTAATGTGATGCCTGATGCCGGTTTTTTTTCTTCAAAAACTTGTTTATTTTATTTGAAGCAAGATTTGGCGCGTTATCAGAGAAAAGTATTTTCGGTAGGGCAAAGGTAGGTAAA